GCTCGCCGTACCCGGGGGGGGCGGGGGCGTGCAGGTTCCCGGCCGTGTCTACCGCGAGTATCAGTTGTCTGATTACTCGGGTTGGCTCCGCCGCCGGATCGAGGAGGAGAAGAACTGGCGCGCCGCACGTGCCTGTGTTATGGGGTCCAAGGCTTGCGCCAACGTGGCGCGTTGGACGCCGCTTGATTATATGCAGCGGGACCTCTCGCCGATTCAGGTGCGATCTTCGTTCACCATGAGTTGGTTTTGATTTTGATTTTAAGTGGGGGATGATTAAATTATGATAATAAATAATAATAAAATTATTATTTTTTTCTATAATAAGATAAAAATTAAAATGATTATTTTAGTTTCGTGTGGGAAGGGAAACATGAAGATAATTTATTATAAGTTCTTCTATTTTTAAAAGAAAAAATAATGAGTGCTCAATACATGATTACGGGAATTGATTTAAGCGCAGTCGGGATGCTGCAAGCCGCCCACATCGTGCACATACGAAGGTGGGATGGCAGTTGCGGAGCAGGAGCAGGACTGCTACAAATGGAGCAACGAGGGCGACGTTCTCTGCTACGCCTGCGATTCATGCAAAGCCGGCGTTTTGGAGCAGCTGAGAAGCGCGTGGCATAAGCTCTCCCTCCTCAACGTCGTCGCCATCATTTTCCTCATCGCCGTCTATGCTCTCGGCTGCTGCGCTTTCCGCAACGCTCGCCGCGCCATCTCCGACTATCCTTATGGAGGTAATAGCATGTCCAAGATCGGCCCGCGATGGGATTACTACTGGTATGCTCCAGTTGTTGATTTTTTTTTTTTTTTTTTTGGTTTAGACTTTTCGTCGAACGCCTTGGCGGCGTGTAGTTTTGAATTCATTTGGTTGTTGATTTTGGTGCAGGGGACGGTGGTGGAGGGAGAGATGGGATCAGCTTTGGCGAGGGTTTGGGGATGAAAGTATCCGATTGGATGATGATTTTATAGGTATAAATTGATGAGGATATAAGTTTGGGCATAGGGGTGTAAATGAGTTAGTCGTCTTCGAGTGATTTTCTGCTACAGTTTGGGTTTGATTCATTAGTCTTGTTTGAGCTCGAGTTCGGGCTTCTAGATCTGTGTGTTCGAGCCGGCTCATGCGCCGATCTGTTTATTGTAAAATACGGAAAATAATATTAATTTAAATTAAGGTTATGATGAAATGATGATAAAACAACCTATTTGAAATAAATAATAAGAAAGTATTTTACATACAACATAAAATATTTTTAATAATTAAGGAAAAAAAATTAAAATTTTATATATTTTGAACTTATTTTATATTAATATTTTTAAATGTGATAACTCACGAACTTATGAGTTGAGCCAGAGTTGGCTCGAGCTTAGCTAGTCGAACTAATCTACTTACAATGTTAACAAACTTTTTATTTACATATATCAAAAAATTTACTACAGACTTTCATTATTAAATACCTACAAAAATAGAAAATGTTGTTAGACTGTATATGAAAATCATGTATTAACATTTCTAACAATGTACTCTCTGCCTCCATTAGGTCTACCAGACTTCCCATAGAATATGAGGCTCAAAATTTTGTTGATTTTTCTGCATTAGAGTTGATTAACTACCGAACCTACAGGTATAATGCAAGCATGTATTTGAATTTTTTTTTAATTATTACATAGAAAAATGATAAGCTAAATAAAATTGGGATGCAAAAGCAGACGATTTTAATTATTACATAGAAAAATAATAAGCTAAATAAAATTGAGATGCAAAAGCAGACGACGTTACAACCAACCCGAATGATTTGAACATAGTTTTTTTTTTATTCTACAAAGCCATACTTGCAATGTGTGCTTAATGATTGATGCATAACTAATAATATGGAATCATCATATCATCAGCTTGAAGAGAACACAATATTCTATTATGTGTTTGCATTCACCATCACCCAAGTAAGCTCTTCGAGTGGCGGTGGCATGCAATAAAAACTAATAGGTTAGCTAGAGTTTGGAAAATTTCATTCATTATTGGTCGTCATACATGTGCACATTCAATCGCAATGGGTGGGCACCTACAGTGCACATCAAAATTTATCTCCTAGTTCGTCCTCCCCATAATTCATCGCCAAATTGATCCGAAAGCCGAATAAATTATTAGTCAATTGGAGCTTATATTTAATATCTAAATCTCATATATGAAAGTTTGGGATGCAAGGCGTAAAACCATAAAACCATATTTGCTAGTTGGGAGGAACCTTATCATTGTTGACATAAACTAATGGGCGTCATTTATTGTACTAAAATGCAATCAGATTGCACAAGTCATTTTTAGTGTTTATTTTGGGCATTTGGACTTTTTATTGATCTATCGAGCCGATGCAGGCCAATTCTGAGTCTTGACGGCACATTCCTGTTGGAGAAATATCAAGGAACTTTTCTTAGTGTAATAGGAATCGATGCAAACAATGGTCTTTATCCACTTGCGTTAGGAATCATAGAGTCTGAAACAAATGAGTTATGGCTATGATTTTTTAGGAATCTGCTCAAGCTGCTACCATTGGTTGGAATTTGGCCAGATCTTTGCATTATTTATGATTGGCATGCTGGTATAGTTTGTAGTTATTGGGACATATTTAAATAGGCAGCACACACATTTTTCTTGCACCATGTAAGAGGAACTTTTAAAAAGCAATTATACATATGGGGATTAGTGATGTTGAGACGAAGTGCAAGAAGATGTACAGGGCCAGGAATGCTGATGACATCTATCTTTGAACAACACTTAACATATATTAGAATAATCAATCATGAAGCATTCAATTGGCTTATGGCTAGAGATGTGGCAAATTTGACTTTATCTCATGATAGTGGTGTTAGTATGGAATAATGACCACCAATGCTACAGAAGCTGAATTCTTGGATGTGGCAAATTTGACTTTATCTCATGATAGTGGTCTTAGTATGGAATAATGACCACCAATGCTACAGAGTGCTCTAATAGAATTCTTCGACGTGCAAGGGAGAATCCTATCCACACATTGGTATGCTCTATCTACTAAAAAATAGTCTCATTATTTATATGATAGTCTACCTCATCATAAGAGTTGGAAGCCACCGGTGATTCACCTATTGCAATGAGGACAAATACTACAATATAACAATATGAGAGTGAGGCTAGAAGATTCCCGGAGCCAACTTGCATTAATTATCATGAACTTGAGGTATTTGACTTTAGTGGTAGGTTATTCCATGTCAACTTCAATTAAACTGGTACATGTTCTTGCCCATATGGAAAGCCACAAACATAACTACAAACTAACACTAAGTCGCGTTGATGGCATCTTCTAGAACTTGTTGCATGACAGTTTGGTCACCTGCTCAGAATTGACATGGAGCTTATTAATGCGGGTTTTGTATGAGTCGATGGTAGGGGGAAATTGGCTTTTGACTGGAAAGAGCATTATCAACGCTTCATTTAATTACGAAACAAGATGCAAGCATATGTTGTTGGATGTGATGATGTTGATCTTGATCATGGAGAGGTGACTGTAGAGTTTGACTTGGTGTGGATCATGGGTGACTATATCTACTAAAGGCTCTTACAATGCTCCAGACACATACTACCCAAGGTCACATATAGAGCGAGCTACAGTATTATGTATTTTTTTCTTCACTATGTTAACCATATGCCACATATTATACAACTTAGGTAGATACATATTATTTTCGGTTATAATTATTAAATAAATTAATATAATATCTTATGTTGCAGCTTAATTTTATTTTGAAAGCTGAGAAAGTTTTTCAGCTTCACTTTGGAGGCCATGATGATACTTATTATCTTATGTTGCAGCTTAATTTTATTTTGAGAACTGGCAGCTTTCCCATCTGGTGCTTCGGCAACATGTTCCAAGTGACCCACTGACCTTCTCCAACTCGCCAACCCATTCTAGCTTGACGGCTTACTTTGACGGCTTGCGCCCACTCCACTGCTTCGCATCTTGGGCCTAACTCACCAGGCCAACCATCGATCCATGCCCATCCGAGTGTCTCCACCGCGGCTAGTCGCCACCTACTTCCATCGCCGCCTTTTTTCCGGCACCGCCACCACAGGCCATGGTCCAGTATTGCTGATCACCATTCATCACCACGGCAGCCACTGGTCCCTGTCTGACACCACTATCTGCCACCGCCATAACTGATAAGTCGTCAACAAATTTTATCATTTGCCATGAATTTCGAGGAGATTAGGATGAATCTCACAAGATTTTTTAGCTAGAAACATTCAAACTCAAATTTAAAAAAACCCAAAGCATTGATTTCAATAAATTTACATTCAAATAGATCGACTCGATGAGACAGACCTAATAAAAAAAAATGCCCAAACCAAGTCAAATCAAATGCAGATCAAGCCGTTAATCTATTTTTGGAAGTTTTATGAGGCTAATTGAAAAATCAATCAGATTCTAAATATGACAAGTTTATAGTCAGATCAAGTGTCTTAGTGAGACAAATCTAGTGAGCCCAAGCTCACTTAATTTTAAAATCTTGAAAGCTCATAAATGTTCACATAATACCATATGATCACGAGAATCTCTCAAGGCCGCCCGATAAAGTGATCCAGATTCATTTCTTTTTTATAGGGGTGGCACTCCCAAACATTATAAATAGAGCCCTACCTCCTTCATGAAAGGGAAACTAGACCTTTGTTTAAAGGAAGAGCTAAAACTGAAGCTGATTCATGAAGAAAGACCGAGTTCTAGCATCGTTCCTGATCGAAAATTAGTCGAATACTTCCCACCCTCGCAGTCGTTGACCACCATCGACGAGCGCTTTTCGGTTATTGTCGACCACCATTAGTCGTCGCTGCTCGTGCAACAAAGCTACTTGCGAAGCCGCAACGTACATTGTAGAGTAATTAATCACCATGAAGAGTAAACACCAATGTAGTGGATTAATGGGTCACCCTATGGAGTAGTGCATCGTCTTGAACATTGTGCAATGATGCACCTCAAAGACGGTGCAGCGTAGTCCCGAAAACTAGTCCCAACTGCAACCGCTCTAGACCGTTGTACACAAACCCTCCTGCATACAACCCTTACACTTAGAGAAACTATGTAATTGTTTCTCGTCTGTGGGACAAGAGAATGTGCTTGTACTCAACAACTTAAGGTGAATCATTCTGAGTGGGCTAAGTCCTATAATTTTTCCCTTTTCGGGTTTTTCATGCAAATCCTTCTAGTGTCTCTAACTATCACTTCAATTACAATTTACATGTGTGAGCCGAACTTTCGTGCAATATTAAGACACTAAATAATCACTCTATTATTGTGAATCATCTGACACACAACATATATAAAAAAAGCTAAACTGTAGTTTAAATATATATTTAATAAATTTAGATGAGTGAAACATCATAAAAAATACATCTATTTGGACATGAATCTCAATGATTTTTAAGTCTAAAATTTCTAAAATTAAATTCATAATGAACTAAACTCTTATTTTAACAAGCTTAATACTCAAATTGAAAAAAATAAATTATGGTCAAATTGAAGGTTGATAAGACGAACTAAACGATTAAGTGCAAAGTTTGGGTCCAAATGCCAAATTAAACAAATGAAATGAGAATAAAAAATCTTGGGGCATTAAATGAAGGACTAAATGACATCTATTTTTTATATATGCTTATAATAACAAATTCAAAATCCCTCAATTGCTAGGTCATTAAGGTACTTGAATGAAAAAAAAAAAAAAAAACTAAGATCAAATGAATCAACAGGTGCCATCAGATAAAGTATGTTAGTACTTATAATAACTAATCAAAAACTTATAAAAGCAAAGCAAAATTCCACTCTAACAAACTATAAATAGACTAGTATTATTCACATGGATGAATCTAGAACTTAAACTTGAAATTAAAGGAAATTTAGATAGTTGAAAAGCTATAGAATTATGTACAAGTATAGACACCGTTGACCACCATTATGAACTTACCATCATTTACTAATTTTCATCTAACTCTCAGCCATCATCATCATCAATTTATTATCTCCTAATTGTCATTAGTTGACTGTTTTTTCTCGACAATATCATCCAATCATCATATTTTAAGCTCTTCTATTCATTTCACAATTTTTATCAAGTCATAAAAGATCAAATAAGTGCTCTTAATTATGTAATATCATTTTTTTTTTTTCAAATTATAACAAAGGGTGATTATAACCTAGCATAAATTGTGAATTATTTTAAATAGAGCAAGATCTACAATTTTTTTTTCCTTTCTCAAATTTTCATGCTAGAACTTTAATATTCCATGTGAATTTTCTTTTATTTGCATGTGCTAAGCATTTGTACAAAATTATGACATTTATACCTCATTCTATAAAAGCAATAATTTTAGCACCTTATAATTACATATTAATAGGACGCAATGGAGAAAAAGGATTCATGTAGCCGACCCCACGTAGTGGGATTAAGGCTTTGTTGTTGTTGTTGTATAGTTACATATTAATAATTATTAAAAATAAAACCAAAAAATATAAAAATGCTCTACTTTTAAAAGTGAAATATTATTAATTTTTTTAATAAAAAAATGAAAAAAAAAATGAAAAAAATAAAATGTTTTCAGTGATCCCAAATTTGATCTATCGTTTTATTAACAGGGCAGCGTAGGGTACCACTCCATTCTGAAAAAATACTATCTCAGGAGTATTGATGTATCAGTACTCCAATGGAGAGGTGTCACGTATGCAATTGTTCCAACATAATGTCACGTGACACCTCTCCATTTGAGTACTGATGCATCAGTAATATTTTTTTCTCCATCCTCCTCCCCCTGAAACCCAACCACAAGGTTTGCCTATGAAAGACTCCTCCCACTCCATCACCCCCCGACTCTCCCGCACTCATCGCAAACTCCTCTAATGGTTCCTCCGCCTCCTCTTCCACCAAAACTATCCATGGTCTCCTCAAGCCCCGGCAGAGCAGAGAAGCTCCCAACACCTGGTTTTGCCCGTCTTCTACGCGGCAAGAGTGGCAGCCGCAGCCGTGGCCAAACCTCCCTATCCCGCTCCAGCCCCCTCTTCCCCTCCCTCAACCGTAACCTCGGTCGCGCAGCTCCTTCCATGGATACCGGCAACGACGGCGAGCCCTCTTCCCCCAAAGTCACCTGCATCGGCCAAGTACGAATCCGAAAGAAGAATAAAACTCCAATTAGGTCCAATTCAAAACGAAATCGGACCCCGTCGGACCAGAAGAAGAGAGAGGAAAGAGAAATGCGGTGCTGCTTCATCAATAAGTCTCTGTTCTTCAGCGTCTTTCGATGCCGGCAATTGATCTGGAGGAGATGGTCGGCCAGGCTTCGATTCAAGTGGAATGCGGGATATCGGCGGGGGAACGAGAAGGTTGAACCAGCGGAGACGGTTCCTTTGCCGGTGAATGATTTGGGCGAAATTATTTTCCGTACATCGGAACAGGATGACGATGAGGAAGCAGAGGAGTGCGATGAATCGGAAACTAGGGTTTTCGTGCCGCCGAAAAACGCCCTTATACTGATGCGATGCCGATCCGCTCCGCACAACCGCTCCTCCGCGCTCGCCACCCGCTTCTTCACAGCCGTCGACGCTGAGGACAGTGGGAATAAGGATGACGAAACTGTGAAAGGAACCGAAGTAGACGAGAAACACGAAGAAGAGGAGGAGGAAAAAATAGGATGCCCGTCGTCGAGGCCGCTCTTTCTTAAACGGTGCAAATCGGAGCCGGCGAAGAAGGCAGCGAAGCTGGCGGCGCCGGAGGGTGCGTGTTGTTCGCAGAACAGTGATGACGGGAGCCGTCCATCGGCGGAGAGCCCGTCGGAACTCCATTAAAGGTTTGAGAACATGATAGTTTTCTGGTAGTTTTTTTGTTTATGCTGTAGCCGGACATTGTTGTGCAAAAGATTCGATGGTTTGTATTTTGTGGGAAATCTCTGAAGCTTCTGCCATCGATTCCATGAGAAAATTTCTCGAGATCTCTTCTTTTTTTTTTTGTGGGTGTGCGAGAGAATCTTCGATATCCCACTGAGCGTCCGTACAAGCCCTGGTATTCATAAACCATGGGATGCCATGGGGTACTTATTTTCTAAAAAAGTATTAATTAATAATTAGAAAGGTATCAATTAAAATTTATTATTTTTTAATTTTAGGTTTTTTTGGTTTTTTTTTTTTTTTTTGTCTGCGGCGCTTACTTTTTTCAGAAAAATAAAATAAAATAAAATGTATGTCATAATTCAATTTATGTTTAAATAATATAGTTGCAGCGGTTCATCATAGTCGGCCGCCGCCGCTCGTCAAAGTTTGAAGATGAGTTTGTTGAAAATAGAGTTGCTTGATTGAAGTTTAAACCTATTTTGCTAAAAAAATTTGGCTCGATGTTCATGCCACGCCTCAAGATTTATGAAGAATGATGAAAAATAGTTGACGACGTATAAGTTGTTCTCGAGACAATTTCCTTGCCTGAAAGCATTGAAGATGAGTTTCTAATTTTAAATTTTTTTCCTATTTTTTTATTTTTTATTTTAATGCTTAGCATCTTTGTAAGTATATGATACACCTATATATAACTAAAGCGGGTGTGCAACATGATTGTCGATGGTTTCTTCGTGTTTGATCCCACAACATAACTTATTTGCATTTGTTTGCAGGATAGTTTTAGTGGGTCAAGTCTAGGCCGACGAATGTCTTTACCTGGTGTTCTAGGGTCATCATGTCGTGTCGGGTATGACTGTGTCTTCAAGTTGTGATAGGTTGTTGTAATGTCGAAGCGAGTTTTCGGGCCTGTCCCGGGTTAGTGCGGATTGGGACGCCCTGTTAGATGGGTTGGATCAAGTTAGAGGTCGTCGTGTCGGGCCATTTCGAAGCGAGTCACGTGGTCGGAGGTCAGTTTGATAGGCCGATGGGGCTCCATGTTTTGTCTCGGCAAAGCGACTATATACTACGATGGGCCTGCCACATTAGCGGTCTGAGGCTCACTTGGATTAGATGTTGGAGCTCAAATGGGGCAGGAAGGCAGTGGATCCAACAATCTGGATCATGCGGTGCGATTTAGAAACCAGATCAGGCGGCTTGGTTCAAGCGATGGGATCTAGAGCCTAGATTAGGCCCAAAATTGGCAAGTACAGGCCCTTAGGGTCTATAAAATGGGGCCCAAGAGGGAGTATGACCTTAAACATGTATAGAAAGTCTTGGAGTTTCCTACTGTGTAGTTTAGAGGGGAATTTTAGGTATGTTAGAGCCTAAAGATGGGAGATGAAGAAAGATCTAGGGTCTGTTTGGAGCAGCTGCAGCTTCTCAGCTTTCTAGCTGCAGGGGAAGCTGCTGTGGGGAAGCTGATTGTCTGTTTGGGGCAGTTGTGTGAAAAAAACTGTGAGGTAGATGTTTCTGCAGATATGACCATTTTGCCCCTGTTTTGTGATGTTGTACTTAACAGAACTGTGATAGTCATAAATTTAATACTTTTAAGGCATTAATTCACTTAAAAACAATACATAATTACAGATACATACCTAACTTCACAGTGAGTTTAAGACTGCAAAAAAAAAGTCTAAAACTATTAAAATAACAATTAATAAGATGATTATATTAATTTTAACGGTCAGACGGTGTAGCTCATGTGCTAGACTTTCCCTCAGTGGTGTTCTCCATTCTCAATCACCATCATCAGGGGAATCCTCCGACATGTCCGCCCAACGAAAGAACTCACACTATTCTGTGATGCTCCATGGGCAGCTATAGAACTTTCTCCCGTAATTGTGCGGCGACGACGTCAGTAGGAAAGTTTGGAGGCCACAGTGGCATAGCATTCGTCGGCCTATCCCTTAATTCATTAAGCTCAAGTTTTCCTGACTGTAACTAAAGAAAAAGGAACAGACAATTATTGTTACTAATAAACACACTTCAATATTATAGATGCAAAGAGATGAATAAACACACCAAATACTGACTCAAGCGAACTTTGCTTACACTGAAGGCACAAAGATGGCCATCAATGTATGAAAAATAGTACCGAAAAAATTCATCCACTGATTCTTATGTATAGATTTCCTTTTTTTAGTCATCCTAAAGTGTCAAATAAACACCACAGGAAACATAGTCATGGCCACAGAAAACATGCACCCTTTAGTGGAAAAGAAATATTCATTAGACATCTAATCTTCACAACCTTCTCCAGTGTCTACAAATTGAAATCCATCTTGAGAGCAGGTTTGTCAATTTTCTTTGAAGAGCTCATGGTGGAACGCACCTTTTGCTGCTTCTTGTTTCTGCTAAGTTGTTCTTCAATCTTCACACACTCAAAGTCATCAAGAACATCATCTGCTTCATCGATGACATCTCGTAGCTGCCATATCCATCTGTTCAGTGATGGGTTTCCATCTCTGATCTGTGATTGGGTGGAAGCAAAGACGACAGCTTGGACCTTAGGGTAGTTTTCTCGCAACCTTCCGAGCTCCTCCTTCATGCCCCTCTGCCATCTATATTGATCTTGCAGGTAATCAGAGCAAGCCTTGATGATCTTATCCATGATCGGGCCAACAAACCAGTCTGTCATGACAAAGTTCAAGGTTTGATCGCTAGGGCAGCAAGGGTCGATCGCGAGACTGGGGAGTGTCAAGGCAAAGGAGGAAAAGCCGCTCGACAATGCGGGGTCGAGGGGTTGGTCCCGCGTCCTGCGTTCCGCCTATTTTAGAGGCCCGCGGCCGCAAACACCATATCCAAACAGTAAATTTGAACTCAGCTTCGTGATTTGGGGTCGCGCCGCGCGAAAAACACAGCGCCAAACGGACCCCTAGAGTCTCCCCATTGTGTGTTCAGGAGGAGAATTTCAAATTTTGTGGAGCCTAAAAGGAGCCATAAGGTGAGGAAAGAATTGAAGTCTCCCTATCGTGCATTCAGGGGAGGATTTTTCATGGTCGAAATGTTTGGAGCTTCCTTGTTGCGCATGTTAGAGGGGATTATTTAGTCTTATAAGATGATGACACCTGGTGAACTCCACCCCACTGAAAATCAGAGGAAGATTAAAAATTTGGAGATGGTAAAGTCATCTTTGAAAGAGGTTGATTTGTGATAGCCGGAAAAGGTAAAGTCATCCTTGAAAAAGGTTGATTTGTTATAGCCAAATCAGTTGTCGCTGGGCAAATGGCCAAGTACTCAAGTTTAGCATGATAAATTTGCTGATAAATTTCTAGTTTACTAACTTTGGGTACTTAGTTTAGCATGATCACACATGTTGAATTCAAATCCTAAAATTCTAACCAACAAGCATAAAATAAAAGCAAGATTCTTATGGTTCTTCGAGAGGGATGAGGCTCGTACCTCTATGACTTGGGTGTAGTACAAGTTTGTGTTTATTCTAAGTGTTCCGCTATATGATAGTTATCAACCAAGGATAAAGTTTTCTCCTTAGCCTATGACTAGGTCATAAGCAGAATCATAAAATCATGCAGTTTTATTTTGCATGACAACATGGTGTTTCTCAAGACTCTTCTAATTCCCTAGCTAGGTTGCAAAATCCTAATTAGAATATGCCTATTTCACTAGGTTCTTGTGGTTAACCTATTTGTTCTACTACGCAATGGAAATTAGCCGTAGTTCACGAAAATTTTTAACATCTTAAAAGACCAGATCAAAAATAGAAGAAGATCAGAAGGTTAACTCAACAGCTTGAAGACATGAAAGTGCAAGAAACATTTAAAGGGAAACATGTGAGACAAAACCTTGAAAACCTACTAGCCCTACATCACAGAAGCAAGAAAGAGATTTAGCTACTCATGATAAAAAAAAACAACTCAAGGAAATCCATTAATACGAATGATGCAAGTAGAAAGACAAAGTAAAAACAATTTACAACCAAAGCTTTTCTCTCCATACCAATAACCATTCCCTCTCTAATACATGTTCCTCTCAAAGAAAATAAGAAATAAAAAAGTATAAAAGAAAATTAGCTCCCAAGGTTTCCCTTAAAGTAAGGAAAAAAAAAACACAAGGGAACCCAAATGCTCTCCAAAATCCTCTTAAAACTTGGACACCATTAGCCAAAGATCTCCTAGGACGTGTCATAATATCTACTCTTATAACCCATGTCCAATTTCAACAAAATTATTCTTCCTAAGTGGAAAAAACAGCTTTGGAAGCGTGATCACGCCCGAACCTAGCGTGGCCACGCCATGTGCATCATGGTAGTGGCATAGTCACATGATAATATGACATTTCTACGCCTAATATGATGTAGCCACATGCAAGTTGAGTGTAGTTATGCCACTTTTACAGAGAACGTGACATAATTACGTCAATTTCGGATGTGGTTACATCGGTTTGGTGCCTATGAATTCACTTTTTTCTAATCCAAAATACATGTTTGATCTTCTGTAGCCCACAAGCACTGATTTGATCATGACATGCATAAATACATTGATTTAATAGTTCAATAAACTCACATGGTTGATTAATTTGAAAATATCAATGTTTAATATCTTCAAATTAACCACCCAGGTATATGTGATTTTTTTTTTTGCTACAACCCTTAATTCCTTTAAAAAAAAAACAAAAAAAAAACAAAATGTATGTCAAATTGTGAATTTATGTTTAAATAATATATTTGTAGCTGCCAACTATCGTTGATCACCTCTGATTGGAGTTCGATTGTAAATTTATTGAAATGGGAGTTTTGGATTATCTTTAATTGAAGTTTAAACATTTCTTGCTAAGTTTTTTTTTCCTTTGATATTCGTGTCATGCCTTTAAATTCATGCAAATGATGAAAATTTGTGGATAGTATATAAGTTTTCTCCCTATTTTAGAGCGATGTCAATTTCATTATACAAACATACTAGAGACATGAGATTCTAATTTTTTTTTGTTTTTTCCTATTTTTATTTTATTTTATGGCTTAACATCTATATAAGTATACAAGATATCTATAAATAAGTAAACCGACTGTGCAACCCAGATGGCAGGGGGTTTAGCTTCTGCACTCCCCTGCATTCAATCCCTCATTCACATAATTTATTTGCATTTTTCACGGGCCAGGTTTAGCAG